TCAGTATTCATTCACCAAGATTTGAAAACATGCAAACAAGTTTTTGTAAGAAACGACGCAATGAAAAAACAATTTCAACCTACCTACGATGGACCGTATAAAGTATTAGAGAGAAATAGCAAGACTTTTAAACTACAAATACCCGGAAGGAAATCTACGATTATATCGATCGACCGACTAAAGCCTGCCTATATTATTAACGAGGATACTGCAGAGGATTCATCATCATCATCAAAACCACCAGCGAGGAAGCTTGAAACTTCATCATCTACATCAACCCAGTTGAAACCTATTTTAAAAACTACGAAATACGGGCGAGTCGTCAAGCCTCCGGTACGCTTTCGCTGGGGGGAGAGTGATGTAGCAGCCAGATTAATCAAACCTAAACGGGAATAAATAATATATACTCCGCTGCTATCATAACGCGGAAGGCGAGAATAAATAAAAAAACATTTTATTTCCTAATTATTCTTGGCTACTGAGATACTGCGGACTGTATATAGATAAATTGACGTTCTTATAAAGAAACAAGAAGCAGCCGCAAATATCATTCAGCGCCACACCGACTTCACACGCCGCTATCGTCACGTATCCGTCGACCAATGGTGAGCCGTTTCTTCAACGCCGCAGTTCGTTTCCTCTTGCTGTTCCGGAGCTGTATTCCACACCGCCGCCGCCCGCCGACTACGCGTGCGCACCGATCTGCATGTCTTATATAGCCCGGTCCAGCGACGTAGCTTCGTGAACAACAAACAAGTCTCACGCCGGGATACGAAACGTAGATAATTGTATATTTTAAATAGTTTTCATTGTTCATAAAATAAGCAATATAATTGGCTAGGCGAAATATTAATTGTTACCATTGGCAAATCAATAGTGAGCCAGCCATAAAAATATAGGCAAGGTTGATGCAAAATATATTCCATTCCGAATTCCATTCGACAGTACATTCATAAACATAAACAGTAGTTTCATTTCTCCACCTTAAAGAAAACCACTCGGAGTCTGTTAATAGTGGACAGTTCGTCTCCACTATTACAATAACAACATAATATTATATCTCTGTAACTTTCTCACCTTTGAATGATTGAAGGCAACTTGTTGGTGGGTGAGACAAACATGATCGAAAATGCATTTACTCAACGTCAGTGACACAAACCCTTTCTGATGGCGAATTATTACTCTTATCTTATAACTGCCTTTTGGCTATATCTGCCGTTGTATTGGTTGGTGGAGCATATGTGTCGACCTCATGCGGTTGGTAGCTGGCGGGAGGATCTGAGGAGACTCTCCAGGCTGCGGCCGAAAGCCGCACAACGTGGGACCCCATTCCCTTGAGACGAGCGGTAGACTCATGACACGCTCTGCGGCTAGTAGCCGTGCTAATCATGCAATTGGTGGTGATGCCATACACTTACATCACGTCTGCGGGAGCGGCGGTCTGGCAGGTGGTGGTGCTCACGGAGGATTTACGGCCAGTGTGCCTATTTGCCTAAACCGTGTGACGTACATTCACTGTGGCTGGATTCGTTCGTATTCTGTATGGCGTTTATACGCATTGACATGCGCGACTTCAATCGATGTTTGTGCTTACGCACTAACAAGGGGCCAAGCCTCTTTTACTGGTTCGCCAGTTATTTTTCTGTGGACTACGGTCCAGTTCCCGAATTAGCGTTCCCTTCGGGGGGAGTGCATGGCGTGTGTGGGGCCGTGTGCCTCCCCTAAATTTTTTAATAAATGTAGGAGAGCGAAGCCCTTGTATCGGGTATTTTGTATAAATATATTTTGAGCCTTTTCCGAGCGGGAAGGGATAAATAATATTAAATTAATAATGTAAAACTGATACAAATGGAATTGGGACGTTTTATGTCTTATCCTTTCTCGAGCCCTATCTTCGTGAACGGGGTTCACTTAGCTTATAAGGCACTACCAACAGCTTTCAAATGCTCTCGCGAATATTCATTCTTCCAAAAGACACCTAAAAGAACTAAGTTACTAAACAAACACAACGTAAATAAGGGTCCTAACTAAGTCGATCACGCCAAAATATTACAAACGGCCTATTATTAAACCTTTAGAAAGATCATTTAGAAAGATTAAAACATATTTATCCTTGTCACATATATATAATTTTGAATTTAAAGGGGAATATAATATATTTAGTATTTATTATATTTATAATATGAGGTGGGAAATGTTACAATATGTTACAATTAACACTAAGCAATCGCACACCTAGTTGTCTTTGTTGTGTTTGCATGATGTTTCTCACAATTATCCAAGATGTGAAAAAATCAGTCCGTAGAAAAATACCGAGGTCAAAACAACAGAAGGAAATAAGAAATAACAATTTAACAATAATACTGGCGCGAATCGATGATCACAGAGTAAGCGATGAGAAATAACGTTCCGTTGTACATATATAATTGAACAAAACGTTAAGCTTACTATGACCTACATAATTATTTTTATGACAAGAATCTAATACATAGTAAATCAGCATAGTAGTTGATTTGATGTCTACATACTAATTGAATTGAATTAAAATTAACAACTATTTATAAAAACGCGAATAATTATAGTCTTTGAATACCAAGTCCTTTCACACACACGAAATGAATCGTCATTAGGTGCGTTCTGAAACTACAATTTGAAATAATTTTGAACAGTTACAAAAATAGAAATAAATGGATAACTTTTTTTTTGTGGCTACTTAGAGAGGTATTTCTATTGTGTTTTAAGACCTTAAACAATAAGGGTATTTTACATAAATATTTCATATTGGGACGCTTTCATTTCGTTGTTTGGTACGATTTGGCCATCCTCCTTTATATGGCAGATGTGAAGATAAGAAATAGAGGAAAGTTTATCGACAAAATTTGTGGTATTTTGAAAATGGGCCAAATTAGTAGTACCCTTAACCGACGAGCATATACGCGTAGATATATGGATGTAAAGGAGGTATGCCAGAATCATACCAAATGGAAGTCTGTAGTCTCTGCCTACCCCTATTGGTGACAGGCGTGAGTGAGTATGTATATTATACTTATATGTTTGGATTTGATGACAGTAATAGATAAGAGCGTGGTACCTATCTAGAAGGAATTTTTGACAGAAAAGAAATTGAACCACCTAGAAAGTTTGTTGTGCGCTACATTATTTTAGTTTTATATGCAATGTGGTTTCAGCTTATAAATATCCATCACGCCATTTTGACCCTTGGAAGTCGTTAGAGACTACTATGAAAACATATAGCTGCAGATAAATGCCGTTATAACTATTCCAATTATGTCATATTTAAAAAACGCAGCCAAGTGACATTATTTCAATTTAAAGGTGTTATGAATATTTTGTAAAGTTTGTAAACGAACTGAATCGGCAAGTGACTGAACGACTGTAATTATTTCTCATGTTATTCATGCAAACTCTACACTTTAAATAAAAATTGCTTTTTATTCTTTGTAGAATCTACAATTTGTTGACATGCACATTATCGAGCCCGCTATTTCATCAGATTTGATTGTGTGTATCTGCGGAGCAGACAATTAATATAAACTTTTATTTATATAAAAACACTTATATACACTTATATACTTATATATGTTTGTTCGTATTTTTTGCGCAGCCATTCCGTTCATCACACTAAAACTAAAAAGCGGTAAAACTTTGTCAGATGATAGGGTATTACACCAATTTTTAAAAAGTGTTTTAAATGAATACTAGAGTGATAATGAACCACTATTATTTTTATACAATTTTTTAAAACCAAATAGTGCCATAAAAATTACGTTTACTCTATCATTTTGAATTTTCGCGTAAAAACGCTAGCTGTCATTCTATTAAACTTGTGACGTCACTGTCCCGTAACTTTGCCGATTATGCATACGACTTACTTTTTAATGTTTAATAATGTGTTATGATCTAAATCGTTGTTGTGTTTTGCCTGAATGCAAAAATACGAGCTAAGAACGCCGGGAATGTTATAGATTCAAGTGCTATCTGATTTGAATATAAGAAATACCTTGGTTAAAACTGGTAAGAAGATACCCGAAAACATTGTCTAGAAAAACTAGACTATTCTACTGTGAAGATAATTTTGATGTAAGTATGACTTATTTAACTATCGTTTAAATACGAAATAAAACAACATGAGACGAAGGGTATTGCAAGTAAAATTTTGTAATAAATTAAATTTTGAAATTTTACCACCACCAATTTATTTATCCTTGATAGATTACCACCTTCTGCTTTTACGAATTCGTCTTCCATGAGGCCTTTTCAATAAAATTCGAAATAAAACTCAATAATAATAATGATAACTTGATTTAATAAATTATTTAATAAAAAAATTGACATAACACAGCACAATAGCTAGTTTTCTTAATAAGAGACAAAAATACTAATACCCTTAGGTGGAATCAGTGACGTCATACAGTGTCTAATACGGACAGTGTTTTGCAGATTTGAGGCACAGACAAAAATATTCTTAACATTGAAATATCCTATACATTTAAACGAGCAATTCTTGTATATATATATATATATATATATATATATATATATATATATATATATATATATATATATATATATATATATATATATATATATATATATATATAATTACTATTCTAGGGATATATAGGTCTCCCTCTATTAATAAGGTGAAAAACTTTATAGCCTTTCTCGATAAATCATTATCGGAAATTAACAACAAGCATGCCGTGGTGTTGACAGGTGACTTAAATATAAATATAAACGGAGACCCACTTGATGATCAGTGCTCCGAGTATCTATGCTTGTTAGCAAGTCATCAACTGCTCTCTGCTATCTCGGAGCCTACCAGGGGCTCGGCCTGCCTGGACCACATCTTCGTTAGGGGTACAGATTCTGCTGTTGGTATAGTGTGCCATGCAGATCTTACTGATCATGACATTTGTTTACTTGGTACTACCATCAACCAGGCGAATCACCCATCTCGAATCCACGGTAAGGTCAAAATGGATTTTAATCGGATTGTTGACAAGCTTGAGTCGACTGATTGGTCATTGATAATGAATATGGAAGATGCTAACGAGGCAGCTGATAATTTTAACACAATCTTAGAAATGGCAATAAACGAAAATACAAGTTATGTGGTGCCCAAACGGTCAGATCGAGTTATAAAGCCATGGATAACTCCAGGCTTAATGAGATGCCAAAAACACCGTGACAATCTGCATCTCGAAGCCAGGAGAAACCCTGATAATACATTTATCCAAATCACTTATAAACGATACAGAAACTTCCTTTACGCGCTACAACGAAAATTAAAGACCGAATACGAGAATAATCAAATTCAGCAAAATAAAGATAACCCAAAAAAGTTGTGGAAAACGCTCAAAAATATATGTAATCTCACACGCAACACTACCGAGGCTAATGAATTGTTGTCCGTAGACAAAGACCCTGATTCTTCTTTAAACGCTTGTAACGAGTACTTCACTAGAGTTGGCAGAGAACTGGCTGATGACACGCTCAGAAGATTAAACACCCAAGAAGACCTGTTAGCTGCAGAATACAAACCAAGAGTGCTTTGCAAGGACTCCCTCTTTCTGCAGCCAACGGATCCTTATGAAGTTGGTACGCTTATTGACCAGCTAAAAAAACGATACTGCACCGGGTATAGACAGCTGCACCCCAAGGTTGATTAAACAGATAAAACACATAGTTCTGCATCCACTTACCCACATATTTAATCTTAGCTTGTTATGTGGCGTTTTTCCTAATTGTTGGAAATTAGCAGTTGTTACTCCAATACACAAAGATGGGGATAAAAACTGTCCTAGTAATTACAGGCCCATATCTTTGCTTAGTATATTTTCCAAGTTATTGGAAAAAATGGTAAGCAAACGTCTCACCAACTTTATAGAAAATAATAATCTGCTCTCTGTAAATCAATTTGGCTTCAGGAGGGGTAAGTCCACGGAGGATGCGGTAGTTCTACTGACAGATACTGTGTCTAGACATTTGGACAATAAACGCAGCTGTTTAGGTATCTTCCTAGATCTTCCTAGGGCCTTCGACACCGTCTCGGTCCCTATTCTGCTGCGGAAGCTTGAAACAAAAGGAATTAGAGGAGTGGCGTTGGCTTGGTTTCGTAGCTATCTCTTAAATCGGCGTCAATGCATAAGAGTGGGCTCACATACAAGTAAGCAATTAAAAATCAGTATTGGAGTTCCTCAAGGAAGTATTCTTGGTCCAATCCTATTCTGCATTTACATTAATGACATCCTAGAATTACCCATACAAAGAGCAGACGTCATATGCTATGCGGATGATACAGCCATTATATTTAATGATTTAAGTTGGGACAGCGTACTCGAGACGGCTCAAAAAGGCATGGTAGTGTTGAATAAATGGTTAAGTTCCAATTTACTAACTCTAAACTATAAAAAAACTAAGTTCATAGCTTTTCACAAAACTCTCGCATCAAAACCATTTTCGCTGGTAAACTTAGTAATTCACACTTGTGTATCTGAAGTACCCTCTTGCGGATGTAATATAATCAGCAACACAGATAACATCAGGTATCTAGGAGTGATCATTGATGATAAGCTATCATTTAAAAACCATCTAAGCCGCTTGTCGGGTAGTGTTAGGAAAACCATTTACATAATGAAAGCTTTACGACGTTGTGCTACTAAAGAAACAATGAAAATGGTTTACAAAGCACTAACCCAATCCCTACTATACTACTGCACGCTGGCTTGGGGTGGAGCTATCAAATCAAAAATGCTTGAAGTCGAGAGGGCCCAGCGAGCAGTACTAAAAGTAATGCTGTCTAAAAACTTTAGATTTCCTACTGACGAACTGTACAAGGAATGTAAGGTACTACGGGTTCGCCAAATCTACATTTTAAAGGCAGTAATACTAACCCACAGAAAAATAATAAATTCCCCGAATTACCTTAGCCTGTGCCAACGTCGGATCTTTCGAGTGCCGATTCCCAACTCACACAGTAGCTTTATCAAACGCCACTCACCATTTCTTCTGCCTAGCATTTACAACAAATTCTGCTGTCTCTTCCCTGATTTGAGGTCTTTGCCCACAAGTAAAGTCAAACACAAAATAACAACCTGGCTGCTACATGCTTCTTATCAGGAAACGGAAAACTTACTTTCCTTTCTTAGTTGACCCTATACATGCACACGCGTAGACTTACACTCACTCACACACACGCGCAATCACGATCCCCCCCCACACACAAACACACTCACACAGACACACACACCACACACACACACGCACGCACACACACACGTTCGCACGCACACAAGCACTCCTAGAGTAAATTAGCTATTTTTTTTCTTTCTTTCATGCATTAATTTATATATATAAAAAAAAAAGAAAAAGGAAAGGAAAAAAAAAAAGATTTATTTTTCGCTTTATTATAATTTAATCGGAGTTCTATGTATTTATCGGTGTAAACGGTGTCAGTCAAGGTTCTTGGTTCCTGCGATACAAGCCTAGAGCTTAGTGCAGAAACCAGTGTATTGCTTAATTATGTAATGTTTTTTTTGGTTAAATAAATACATTTCAATTTCAATTTCAATTTCAATCGGAATCTCGGAAACGGCTCCAACGATTTTCATAAAATTTAGTGTTCGGGGGGGTTTTGGGGCCAATAAATCGATCTAGCTAGGATTCATTTTTATAAAATGTCGTTTTGTCCGTGTTTTCAGGCAATGAAAACTGCTACAATATAAGAAGGTAAATTTTGACACTGCATTAATGATTGTAATAGCTCAAGTGGATATCGGGCCGTCGCGAAATCGTAGTGCCCTGGTAAGCGTCCTGTCTCCGATCTGACTATTTTACTTTTTTTTCAAGTTCACTTCTTTTGTGAGAAAATCTATTAATTCGAGCTCTTTTTTTAGTATTTTTTTAAAAATATGAAAATTTAAATTAAACTAATTGCACTCATGATTTTTTATTTAAATAACCAGTTCAGTTTTTTCTATTATGTATTAAGACCAAAAAATATTATTCATGTTTCATCAATATGTAATTTGTATCTAAATATAATTTTCAAAACAATAAAAAAATACCGAGGAAAGCTCGGTCATCCAGGTACTATACTATTGTATATTATACTATAACTTTTGGTTAATAAGTTAATAATAATTGTATATAGTATTTATTTCTCATTAATTTATGCTTGAGTTCATTGTTAGCGAAGCTCTTGAAATTCAAAAACTGAAAACTGAGAAGATGGCTGCGTAATACCTGCTTGGGATCTTATAATTAATTAAATTAAATCCCAACCCAAGCATATTGCAAGACTTAAAGATTCTATCAGTTATTTCTGCGTAAATCGGACCAAAAATTGGCACATTTTAATTAAAGGTAGCTTTGATTAACTACAAAATTGGGACGCTCAATAATTCAGCTTCCCTATTACTAGGGGTGCCACAAAGTACGATGAACATCGGATATTTAAAAAATAGCATACAATAAGATACGCAATAAATATCCATACAAAATTACTGTAGCCACTAGTGCCAACAGGGCTGGAGCTTTTCTCGAACAAAGACTAAATATTGTTACGCGCTCAAGTCGACGATACACTAGCGCCATCTAGTGTCAGGAACGAGAGCGAGGGGAGCATTGAGAAAATGACATCACAAATCACTCAACCGACAGCGCCTAGTCGAAACTCGAACGCTCGGTACCTTGCGCGTGTTTACTTGAACATTCTGGATATTTCTTTGCTAATTTAAATAAATAGGCGCTGCAAGATGCGATCGAAGCAGTATTGGATTTGGCGAGACAAGCGAAGTTTCGGAGCGGAATAAAGTGAATTAGTGTGTTTAATTATTAGTGTTTTAAGTTTTAATTTGTGTAAAGTAAATTAAAGTGTTAATTTAGGTAATTTTATCGGCAATTTTTATTGTCACAAACCTCAAGCTCGTAACAATTGGTGTCAGAAGTGGGATAAAATTATGCCGATTTTACCTAAGGAGGAAACGGAGGGTGTCCGTACCCGAAGTCAACGCCAGCATGAGAAGGACCGGAGGAGATTTGGTGGTGCAGCGCCGCAGACGTCGGAGGGCCAACTGCCAGCCACGGAGGCTGCGGGCCCGTCAGTAGCTCCTACACCGCAGCACCTGACTTAGGTGCTCTGATGGCGATGCTACAGGAGCAGCTGCAGCGCGGACGAGAGGAACAGGCCCGTCTGTTGAAAGAGCAGCAGGAGGAACAGGCTCGCCGACAGGAGGAACAGGCTCGCCGACAGGAGGAACAGGCTCGCCGACAGGAGGAACAGGTCCGTCGGTTGGAAGAGCAGCTGCGTGGCGGCCAGGAAGAACAGATGATTCTCATGAAGGACCTTCACGCTACCTTCGGGAAAGAGATAAGGGAGGTGAAGGATAAGGTTGCTCAACATGATAACCGACTGTCGGAAGCTGAGAACCAAATCAACCAAGTTAAGAAAACGCTGGATGAACTCAAACTTGGAGATGTAACCACAGCTCCCGTAGTAGCTTCAGCACCTTCGCTACGTGGGTTCAAGGTGCCACCGTTTGACGGGACTTCTTCCTGGTCAGCCTACAAAATCCAGTTCGAGGCTGTTATGAAGGCGAACAGCTGGAATAAAAGTCAGGCCATGACTGCTCTCACACTAGGCCTGCGCGACCAGGCCTTAACAGTTCTGGAAGCTCTCGGTGAGGAAGTGACTTATGAGCATATCCTTGAGGCATTGGAGGCGAGATATGGTGACGCTCACCTGGAACACGTCTTTCGTGCGCAGCTTAAAGATCGTGTGCAGCGCATCAACGAAAACCTGCAGCAGTGGGCTCTAGAAGTGGAGAAGCTGGTGCGAAAAGCATACCGGTCTGTACCTGCGCTCATTGAAGGGAACCTGGTGCAGACATTCATCGACGGCATCCGTGACCTGGAAGTCAGAGCTGCTGTGAGGCTCGGGCACCACGAGACGCTTAAGGACGCCTTAGCCCATGCACTGGAAGTGGAAGCCGTGCGGCAGGATCATCGTTCCCATCGCGTCAGGGAGGTTGCAGCAGCTACAGTTCGCGACCGCAACAAAGGATACAGCCGAAGGTGCTATGGCTGTGGGGAAAAGGGCCATCTTCGAATCAGCTGCCCTAAGCGAACCGTGGAAAGGAGAGTTGATCGATCTCGAGAGGGTAGTGCAGCTAACGACACTGCCTGGCGGCGACAGGATCATCGTTCACCTCACGCTAGGGAGGTTACAGCAGTTACAGTTCGCGACCACAATAAAAGATACAGCCCTAGGTGCTATGGCTGTGGGGAAAGGGGCCATCTTCAGTCCAGCTGCCCTGAGCACACCCTAGGAAGGGAAGGTGAACGGTCTCAGAAAGGAAGTGCGGCTAACAGCACCGCCCAGTAGCAGCAGGAATACGACTTTACTATCAGACACTGCAGCGGGAAATCTCACGGCAACGCAGATGCATTGTCAAGAAGACCTTGTCCTGAAGATTGCAACCATAGTAGTAGGCAAGAGAGTAAGGAGGTGGTATCCGTGAGGATGCTCAGGACTGACCACCTCAGTAACGGGTGGAAGGACAGCCTACGACATGCACAGCAGGAAGCTCCGGACATCAAGCCGATTCTGGGATGGATGAAGGCCCGTGATACCAAGCCTAAGTGGAGGGACGTCTCAGCGATGAGTTCA